GTGTGTGTGTGTGTGTGTGTGTGTCTGTGGGGGGGGGGAGGAGGAGAAAACGGAGAAACGGAGAAGCCCAGCAGCAGCGGCCAGAGTAGACTGTGATGAGGGTGATGTAATTTAATCAACTAAGCAGATACTGTGAGGACTACCGCAGGCAACTGGAAGACGAACCAGAACACAGTAAGAATCAGAGGAAGAGAGGGAAGTCTAGGACAATTCTGAACCACGAAATAGGGAGAGGCAAAGGGTCTTAGGAAAAGCAGAAGTAAAAATAAAAATAAATGAGAGGAGAGGCAGGAGGAGAGGCGCGCAGAAGGTCCAACGTGAGAGCAGAAAAAACAAAGGAAAACGGGAAACATAGCTAGAGTAGAGTACAAACGGACAGATATGAGAGAGACGGATGAAGAGGCAGAGTGCAAGAAAAGAGAAAGGAGGGGGCGAGCGTCGTGAGGGAAGAGGAGAAGAAGGAAGGACGGCGGCGGAAAGGTGCAGAGCAGCAGAAGGACTAAGGCGGGCTGGGCGATGAAGAACTCACAACGGGCGGGGGGAACGATGACGATGACCCCGGGGAACGATGGCGATGGCGGCGAGAAGAAGATCCCGCTGCGCGCTGTGCGCTGCGCACTGCGCACTGCGCTTTGAGCAGCGGGAAAAAGAGAGAGAGATAGGTGTGTCGATCTGCTGGAGGGTTCATGGCGGGATTACTTACCAGCAAGTAACTGCGCGCTGCGCACTGCGCACTGCTTACTCCTGGCCGCGGAACACGCGCGGGAGTCAGCGGACATCCTGATCCTGAAGCCGTCGGACGTCGCCAGCGACGGCAGCAGCCGCGCCGCTCCACATACCCTGAGAGTACAGAGAACAGGGTTTCTTTTTTTTTTTTTTTTTTTTTTTTTTTTTTAGAACAGGGTTTCTACCAATCGAGTATTATTATGCCCATCGTCAGCTGTTCTCTTATACACATCTAGATGTGTATAAGAGACAGGCGTAATGCCATCTCATTTCCCATTGCCAACATGATTGGACTG